TGTGTGTGTGTGTGTGTGTGTGTGTGTGTGTGTGTGTGTGTGTGTGTCACTTGACAATTGCGTACACCACTGGCAGGAAAGTACATGTATTTCCTAATACATATCTCATGCCTGGATCAAACACATAGGTGACGATCAGACCAGAAATAAAGTGATCTCTTTCTGTACCATCATTACCATAATTGTGACATCTCTAGTTTACCATCGTGTCAAGAAGATAAAGTGCCTGAAACCACTTTTTAAAGGGCAATTTAATATTCTGTGTAGTGCTTTCATGATGTACACACAAGACAAATGAGCGCAAACAATAAAAAGACGGCCTTCAGGTGTGGCGTGTTTGCCTCTGTATGAACGTATGTCCTCACTGATTGAGAGTAATCGACTGATAGAACACACATTGTGATTCAAACTACACAGACTTTATTGTTGATCCTTTTCAAACCTTTACATACAGTGATTTAGTGAAATTAGGAAAACTAGTAGTTATAACATGAATAGTGGGAGCTGCTATAAATAGTGGTGGCTTGTCTAGCTGTAGTGGCAAGTAAAAAAACTCAAGTGGTACTGAACACGCTGATGCCATGCGATCAGTGACGCTGTCTGATCCAGCCTGACGGTAGACAGGAAATATGTGTGGGACAACACATCAGTTATTTCATATTAAAAACAAAGAGAATGTATTCAATATTATCAAAATAATTTCAAAAAAGTGAGAAAAAACCCCACTATATCTTGCGGACACATGAACTTAATAGCCTACTTTATGGATATGATTTTAAATGTCCTAATCTTAATGACGCACCTACTGTAAGTACAAACTGTGACCTTTGTCAAATGTACTCCAAGCATAACACTGCACAGTGGTTCAATGTGGCAGACTTAACAGCGTAGGGCTTCACGGGCGGTGAAACCACCGTAAACTGGCTTCAGGTTCAGACAGAAATGTCTGAATAGTTTGCCCTGAGCTTGGTGTTAAAGGTTGACACTAGTGAATATTTCCATATTAACTCCCTCGCTGGAAGGCTTCCCAAGGCTCTCTTTTCTTTTGAGAAAGGTCAGGGAAGGATTGAGATATGTAGGAATTACAAAGCTCTTTTAAAAAAAAATGTCCGCCGTTATTAGATTGCTGTAAATTGGATTTAGCTAGGTTGTCTTCCTTCCCTCTCTCTCTATTGGGACGCACCAATCTGAGAAATCTGTATTACCACATTTACATCTGGGTCTGTAACATCAACAAATGGACACGTCCTCTTTGTGTCTCTCACTTTGATCGGGGGTTTGTTCCCAGCTACCTCTCTCTATCAAAAAAGTTGCTCAGAACCCAGTTGTTACCGATACTTTGGAATCAGTTTAGGAGACACTTTAAAACTACACCCTCCGTCAGTTCTAGCTCCAGTCTTTCTCATCCCCCTATTCCTACCGTCCTGCTCGGATCTAGTTTACAGACCTGGTCAAACAAAGCTCTGGTGACTATTAATGAACTTTATGTTGAAGGTGGTTTTTTTTCCCTCATTTGCAGATTCATCAGCAAAATTTAACCTTTCAAATACTCGTTTATTCCGCTTCTTCCAGGTTCGTTACAAAAACAATTCTCCAATTCTCTAACTGCCCTCCGGGTGCTATGATTGACTCTTTTCTATCACTTAATACTAGGCTAAATGGGCTCACTTCAGTCATATATGATTACATTTTCAAGCTAAACCCAACTTGTTTGGACTCCCTAAGGGACATCCAGGACCAGGACCTCAAGATTACCACGTCAGATCAGCACCTCTATGAGTCTACTGCAGTGCAAGAGTTACCTACGCAAGACTAGCCAAGATATACCCTGACAGAACTGATATGTGCAACAGATGAATAATCAATGAATAATCAATGCTCAATCAATAGTCTGTGTTTTCATTTACCGAGCGTAATGGATATCGCTGCCGTGACGAAACTTTTACAACTGTTCTTCACTCACCATTAAATGTCACTGACTTTGCAGATGCTGACTTTCTTTCTTTTCTTTTTCCCCAGTCCCAAACGCTGTGTAATCTACCCCGCAGACAAGTGTATGTATTAATTCTGCTTCCTGTCTGTGGCAGTTGAAAGTGACAACAAGAAAGAGACCAAAGGTGGCAAGGGAAATAAGGGGAAGGCAGATCAAAGACAAGCCATCAAAGTGGTGAGTTCAGTAAATGAATCTGGGCCTGCCAGATACAGACGGCAATATTACTTTGACCTGCAGTCAGCACCGGCAATTATTTATTTCCTCTCGCCTCCCTTTAAGTGTGGTTTTTCAATCAATTACATAATGTGTTTTCGTAAAGATCCTATTTCTAGCTTCTGAGCGTTTATCCTCCGTCATGCACCACTTCGCTTGTTTAGAACCAACCCCTTCCTTTTTACTTACATTTCTGTTGCTCCGTCTCCTCTGTGTTAAACCACTCTCGCATTATTTCTCGCAACTGGTATTTGCAGATGTACATGAGCCAGAGCCTGCACGTATATATACTGTGTACACTTTGTTTGTAACCATCTCTGGTTCAAGCTGTAACAACTCTCATTTATTTTCCCAGATACCTGTGAATCGTGTGTTGCCTTCTAACACCTTCCCAGTGGACACGCGTCACGTGAAATGTATCTTTTTATTTATTTTTTTGTGAAGTATAACACCTATTTGTGTATTTTTAAATTAGCTGTTTTATTTGTGTTCTTGACACGTATTTATAGAAATGTTGGATTATTGTTCTTAACATACCCCCACAGATATTGTTGACCCTCATAATGAAGGCAACTTTGGTAAGAGAGATGACATTCCACATGTAAAGGATTAATAAACTAGAATATTGATGTGTATTAGTAAATCCAAGAGTGGAAATGGCAGAAAGATTGCTTGTTGCTGGTGATTAATTACAGTATAGTTCATGGATGCTGTGTTCTGGACTGAAGTACAGGAGTGCTGGGATGCTCTACTGTGATTAATGTTCTTTTCATACTGTATTGCAGCCGGGCATTGGCCCAGCTCGCTCTGCATGTCAGCGCATAGCCTCTCAAAGCATCCTTCTCCCTTTTACAATACCGTATTTTGCTTCATTTTATTCGACTTTTGTGGCCTCGTACGAGTCATATTCCAGCTCCCGGTTCAGTATCACCCCTTTAGCGGTGTAAGGATCCGTCATGTTTGTATGTTGTTGTCCATCTGGCACAGAAGGGACCAGTCTGAGCGTGAGGATGAAGGAGATTTTGGAAACCCACAGCCAGCATTGTACCCATGTGTGGGAGGGCTTCATGGGCAGCAGAGAAACGCCCAGGTCAGAACGCAATGCAGCACGTCTTTGCACTGAGCGTGCTCAGAACCAACTGTGTTTGTGACATTACAATGCACCTCTTCTGCACCGTTAACCCTTCCCCAATATGTATCAAGTGTGTCCGAGATGGAGCAGCTGCTGTGCAGATGCAGTGCCTTCATTTACCTGGGGATGGAGCGCTTCATGGCAAACGTCCCACCGGCCAAACTGGCAGCCTTCAATCTGTCTGGTACTGTACACCCAAACAGCATTTCTATACAAATGAATGTACATACGTTGTTTTAAAATGTTGAACATATCCAAATGTACGACAGCGTATTAGGACCATTGTATGTGTAAAAAAGACGAAATTATGAGAAAAAACTAAATTTCTGAGAAAAAAACACTTGGATATTCTCTGAGATTTAAGTGGTAAAAAAAAGAAAAAAATCGCAAGTTTACCAGAAGGAAACTAGAATATTCTCTGAGATCATAACGTAATAAAATTGCGAGAAAAAACTCTGACATTCTCTGAGGTTAAAGTCTCAAATTTCCGAGAAATGAAAAACGGAAAAGTCCTGTTTCTTAGTCACAGAACCATAATGCTTCACTAAGGTTGGCTCAACCTCATCACACCACAGATTGCCGTGTATTTTAACTGCAGTGGATGACATCGTCAAATTGTACTTTGCAATCGGCTTTAGCAATAAAGGAATACTCGTGATTTTTGCCCAGAACCACCGTATTACCAGGAGCATCCAGACTTTGAAGAGAGTAAAGTGGATTTATTCAGAAACTGTAAATTATTACTTTAATCTCAGAAAATTCAGAGCTATATTAAAAATTGCACATATTCAGCAGTTTACATTTTTGGATGAACCAAACTTAACACAGCCTATAAAAAAACACTTATTAAAAATACATTTACTTAGAAACCTCCACACTGCTAAATACAATATATAAATGCAACGACATCAGGGACATTGGTAAAAGAACCTGATACTATGTGTACATATGTATGCGCATCCAGGACTCTCTGAGCTGTACAAGGCAGCCCTCTGATGAGAACATAATCCGAAAATACAAACGAGGGAAAAGCTGTGGAGTAATCATTGGCTCCATTAGGAGCCGACGTTTAAGGAGCATGAATCCAGCATGACTCCCGCTCTTTGAGTAGTTTGTCTCTGTCAGCGCTCCTGCGTGGCACGATGGCCTGTTCGATGCCACAGAAACACAATGAAGAGATCTCATGGTGACAATCACTGAAATGCACATCTACGGGATAATCCCCATGCTTTCTGCGTGTTGTGCTTTAGTGCTCACCGCTCCTTCGTTTGAATTCTCTGGTTGTCAACATATGCAAGTCCACAGGCACGGCGGATATTGTACAGATCACGTGTATGGATGGTGCTGTTGATGGAAGATGGTTTGCCTGATGGAGGAGATGATTAATCTTTATGGTGCTGTTGCGCTGTGCGAAACCTCCGCAGCGGTAGTCGCCCTGGGAAGAGGGTGCAAGCGTGTCTGTATTCCTTGACTGGGATTCTTCTTGTAGTCAACGTTGGCTCGTCCCAAGTGATCCCTCATGTTTTTCTCTCTTTTCTTTACAAATAGAGGTGGATCTGCAAAAATAGGAGGAAGTTCAGGGTCAGACAATGTCTTCAGAAATGTGTATTATTGCAGTAGAGAAGACTAAATGTTGAGTGACACACGTCCTGCATGGAATGACACATCTCAATGGAATGAATTGGCTGACTGACTGTTCCGCTCCTTCACACCCATCTCATGACATAGACGTGCAAACTGTTATGGTTTGAGTAACAAAGATTTAAAAAAGATTTCCCTTGATGTTGCTGCGATAGTTACTATCTCACAACCCTCTCAAGCTAATATAAAAGATCACTGTAAAGGTCACTGTGTCGTATAAAACACAAAAGGGTGAGAATGATAGAGAGCCCGTCTATGTCATGAAATGTCTAGAGCGTCTGGTGCCCCGGCTACTTACTGAGTTCTATGTAACCACGCTGCTTTTTTGAGTTCTCCAAAGCTGTTTTAAAAGGTGTTTCAGGAAGAAAAGTAAGGCGTCAAAACACTGTAACGACTGAATGACTGACATTTGGAGCAGTTTGCCGATGATGTAAGCAGTAAATGGAGCAGTGGGCTTAATCTCTTCAAACCCATCAATCTTTTCATTCCCTGTGTGGTTCTATAGAGACGTAACCCTGCCCTGCAGCGAGAGATCAATGAGGTTTTACTATCGGATCCCTGGAACACTTTAACATTCCCACAGCTTCACTCATCTCAAAATATCTTTAGATTGGCTCTCTGCTCTTTATGTGGTATTTTAACATGGATATTTGCTGAATCGTTTCAACCTAATGTCACTGTTGCCTCAGTCAATTGATAGCTGGAGAAAAATAAAAGTGGAACCTTTATGATTTTCTTTTTTCATAGTCTCAAAAGAACCCCTGACCGTGGTGATTTATTTACAGTCAGCGGAACAGGAAGAGGAATGCGTCTCCCTCTCCTCGCGCACTAGAGGAGGGCCTCTTCCCTCCCTCAGCACTCGTTAGATAAAGAATAAGCTGCCCCGCATCACCTTCCAGTTCCTCACCCCTTCCAAGATATACTTCACAAAAACAACACCCCTTCATCTTAATGGCTCCCTCCGCCGGCATACAAAGACTGGGTGGACTTAATGTGATCGACAGAGTGTCAGCTTGGCCCTTACACATGGCCGCAAGCCAGACATATGGGCCTCCCGCCAGCCCGGCGCTGTAGTGCTGCTAACTATAGCGCGACTGACACCATGGTCTGAGTTCCAGCTGTTACCTCACAACAAACCGGGCCGCTCTTAATTAGCCATCAGGATAAGAAGAGCCGATGGCAGATTTGGGTGTCATGCCGTAAGCGCGGCACCATCTGCACTCGTACCACAAATCACTTTGTCTTGTTTAAGTAATGATATTATGCTTCTTAACATGGGGGGGGATGTTTCGGCCCCAGGCTGCTGAATAGCAACAGGCCGTCATTGTAGGAAGTCAGCCAGAATAGCTGCGAGGCGCTGCCTGTCCTCGCTGCAAAGAGAAGCTATGACACTGACGCACACCTGGTGTCCGACACAAGCACCCGTTTCTCTCACTCCTACAGGTCGAGTCCGAGTGCTTGTACAGTAGAAAGCCTCTACTTTGTGTTCTAATAGATGGACTGTGTCACTGATAGCCACAGCATTTTAAAGTGTCATGATAAGTTCAACCTGTTATTTACATCGTACACTAATAATTTAAATTTCAAGCATTTAAATAGTTATTATGAAACGATATAATGAACCATTAACACCCTGTGTGTGTCTTAGTCTTCTCGAGTAGAGAGCATCATTGGGGGTTGTTTCCGTATTTTGAGCTCAATGTGTGTCTCAACTGTTAATACTTAAATGATCCCCTTGTCGTTTTAACAATCGTTTTAGAATATAATCATTGTGTCAGCATACAACTCTTATGATTCTTAGAAATTCTCCTCCTTCTGTTCGTAAGAGGGTTCTGTTAGTCGTCTTCATTCTGTTGCCAGATAATAATAATAATGATGATGATGATGATGATGTTTTCTCTCCTCAGAGTGCCGCATGGCTCTGCTCTTCGACCTGACTCAGAACAGTGCCAGTGTTCTCCGCCAATCAAACCTCGACATGTCCAAGAGGTAACCGCTCTATCGAATGAAGCTCAAACTCAGTTTGTCAAAAATCATTTGCACTAACCTTTCTATTAAGTAATGAAATTGAGTTCCTGTATTGACAAGAACACAGTACAGCTGTTGTTTCAAGAGCGGCTTCAACCACAGCTGCTCTCCCCCGAGCACATCTGTCCTCTGTCTTCATCACCAGCCGCCGTGACTGTTCCTCACAAGGTGGCCTCACAAGCTTCTCGTTTGTCAGAAGCTTCGAGGAGACTCTGTCACACATTGAGAGAAAATGTATTTCTTTTTCCCATCGTGACGGGAATCAGTTAGCCAGGCAGAAGCAGAAGGGTTTACCACGAGGCAAAGTATCATGGGAACACAATAAAGAAGGAAACAAATAGAATTAAAGTAGTTTTAAATACATTTTTTTCATATGATGTATGAAAATACCCCAAATGAACACTGCAAGCGGCTACTTGATTACTATGAATGAATTGTTTTAACAGCAGTTGATCACTATAAGCTGTTAACACTGTGCTTCTCTTTTGTCCAGTGCAGCACAGCTGGACCTGGAGAAACCCCTGGAGACCGCTCTGCTGCTGAGTTTGTGTGGTGTCGGCTGTATTGTCCTCCACCAGTGGCACAGCAGCCTTCAGCAGAACACACGCACGATGCTCAATGTGCTAGACAGTAGGTTCTGGACAATACGATTGCCTTTTCTACATTTCCCACCACGTACTATCCACCTCATACATTGTAATTTAACTTCCTTAAATGTTTACGTTAACTTATTAGCAGTTACAGGTGTGTGTGTGTGTGTGTGTGTGTGTGTGTGTGTGTGTGTGACCACGTGTTCATGCAGATTTACTGAGGGTCAGGCAGACCTCTGGCCAGACCGTCCACGCCCTGAGGAGAGGGGAGGGTAAGGTCACATCATCACATGATACTGTTCATCCCACTCGCATCCTCATTTAGCCTCACATTGGCATTTCTGTTTACTGTAACTATGTCCAAGTGTTCCTCTGTATGTGAGGCTCTGGGCTCTTTGTGAATTCAGATAACCTTCAGATATAGTCATGGCTTCCTCTGACTTGCTCTCTGCAGATCAAGTGCTCCGCAGTGACTCGGAGGGAGACGATGCTCGCCGCAAAACCACTCTCGCACCAGCAGCCTTCAACTGCATTGTCTATGGCCTCCCGAACTTAATTGTCACCTAATACGCAGTATACCCTCACTGCTATTTCAAGATTATTACTGAATACATATCAGCCGGCTTTGCAAATATGAACTAAAGCTACTGTAACATGAGGGGGGGGGGGGGGTAGATATTTCATTAAAGGTGATCCATGAGTCTTCACCTCTACGTTTTCCATAGTCAATGTTTTTAATGTTGTTGTTACTGTACACAGCAGACGTAAGGTGCAACGTGCTCTCAGTGCTGTGGGAGAGGGTAGCTTACAGAGGTGGCCCCTCCCCCTGTATGTATCCTATTCATTACATTACTAACGTTGCTGCTGATATTGCCCTGACGAGTTGTACACTCGGGATCAGTCAATATATTGAGTGTTTAGAGAGCGCTGTCCACCTCGGTCACCATGATTACCGATGTGTCATTGATGTGGTTGAGCATCAGCGAACGGGAGGATTGAGCTGAGGTCAAAGCAAACGCTGTGACTGAACACAAATGGACGAAATCCTACAAAAAAAGAGGACTGAGCTCGAAAACAAAGGCTCACAGCCAGCTACGCTGTGAGTGCACTGACGTTCTCTTATTGCTTGTAATGTCTCGTTTATTGAAGCTTTCATTGTTAGTGCTGCTTTAGTCTCTCGTTGACAGTGTTCACAGTTCCGTCGTCTTGATTCGTCACATGAAACTCTCGGTTGAACAATTTTTCAACGTTGACCCCCACAAACACTCACTGTGCGTCACACTGCGTCAACATGAAAACCACCAGAAGTCTCTTTGGTGGACTTCAGTTCAGAGGAGCTGGATTCATCCTTTTCATGGAAATGAGGCTCAAATTAAACAGAACTGTGTTCCCTCATTTTCATTTAGAGGATGCCCTTGTCAGACATTGCAGCGCCCGCTTAATCCTTCTACGTATTGTTGTATTTCACTGAATGTTAATTTGGTACATTTCTAAATGTTAAATAAAAACATCCCATGAGGAAAAGAAAGGAGTTGTTTCTGTGAGAACTGTAACCTGAGGTTTAAAAAGAGTGGAAGTCATTATCAACTTCTTTGATGTTTTATTACTCGACAGGTTTGGGACTAAAACACAGGTCACTTTTTACTTGAATGCGTGTAAGAATGGAGAGATTTAGTTCTGATACAGGCCACAGTAGAATTAAAGGAACAGATCAGCATTATGGGAAATATACTTCTGTTTATATGCATCTAATGTAAAACTAGGGGCACTTAAAGGCGCAGCGTGTATAATCACTGTAATGGTTATCTATGACGGTTCAGGCCATCGCATTGATTAGGAAGCTTTGTAAGACAAGACGATAAAGGTGGTGCAGTGAAGCCAAATGTGGAGCTCAAGATTTAATAAAATATAAAAAATATATCTCCTCTTCCTCTGCTCTAACTAGACACTCCACTGTAATTTTTCCAGTTAGATTTCATACAGCTTTTTAAAATTCTTTTTAGTTTAAGTTATTCTCATTTCCGTACTCTCCATTCATCCCCACGTAATTTGCTACAATTTATAAGAGGTGTGAAAGATACAAACATCATTCTAACTTTCATTCCTTTATTATCATCTCAGGCCGACTCCACTCAAACACTTCATGTTGCTTTTAAGCCAGATGATGCCTGTATAGAACCCCAACACTGTAATGCACAGTACGCTACAGTGATGCATACATGTTCATTTATATATCCATATATTACTGAGAAAAAGAAAATTGAATTGACGTTTATTCAAATCAAATAGTGAACAAGTAGTAGTAGTTTTACTGCAGCATAGTTTTTGCTCTCACTTGAGTAGATTTTTTTTTGAGAAAACTCATTCCTTGTACTCCGTTGTAATATTCTGTTTCTACTGACAAAGTAAGTAAAACGAATGATACCAGTTTGTCTCATAGGGCGCGGTGGGCGTCCATCTTTATTCTTAACGTATCTTACACTCACTGGCGCACATCGATGACATCATCACAACGTGACGGTTACATGAACCGGAAGTATCCAAGATACTACATCCGCTACATGTGGATGCATTCATCGCGTCACTTTTATTTATTTATACTTGTACTTTTTTCATTCAGGTTGTTTTAAGAGACGGCCAGCTCGCAGCGTGGTGGTTATTCGACCGGTACGGCTGGTGTTTTTAGACTCGTGCTTCTTACGTTAAACGCTATGGCTGTCAAGGAGCAGCAGCCATTACTGACACATTATTGGCGGACTGCGCCAGCAAGCTGCGGTAGTGAACGCTGGTCTGAAGTCGGTACATCCAAAAACCGTTAGTTTAACTGTTGTGTTAAACTAATAACACATTAAATAACATACACACAGTGTATCATGCTTTAAAACTACTACTACTCCTGTACTTCTGTCGAAAATGGAAATATTGGCGGAAGCCTGATGAAGACAGACAGGAGAGTGCAGATCTGATCATGCACATGAAATGTGTTTCATGTAGACATGACTGATGTAACGTTCAACTACAGATGTTCTTCCTCAAAGTGAAGACGTGCACACACCTGTACTCAATGTGCAATCAATGACGAGACGTCACAGAACGATCTCCTAATCAGCCGAAGTGAGTCATCTGATATACGAGACATTCTCAGACAGATGAGAGACATTCTTTGTCCTGCTCTAATCCGATCGCCCTCGTGTGATTGGACGAACCCGCGTGTGCTCTGTCGCAGTCCGTGATGGAAACTCGGACTGGTGTCTGGAGATGATGACTTGTCATTTGAATCATTTGGTCATGGTCGATCAGCTGAAAACCGGCCGCTCTCGATCGTCAGTCGATCGATTGGTGCATCTCTACTCGGCTATCGAATAGTGTTTTTGCTTGAAATGTCCATCCCTACCAACAACATTGCATACAAGCTTGTATTTAAAATTTCAATTAAATGACAGATCATTTATCAGTGCAAGCGTCCACTTTTTTTATGCATGCAACATGGTTCAACTTGAAATGAATGCGAATCAAACTCAAGTTCCGATGACTTTATTTATTGTGTGTTTCATTGCATGGACGGTTGCAGGTCGGCCGGTGTTTTCACAGTCAATGGAACTGTGGAAGAGTCTTTAGGTGTGTCCAAATCCTGCATATCTTTGTCATGTCATTGATAACCATTATGTAATTTGACACTCTCCAGTGTTAATGCTAACTGTATACGTATAAATCTATAAGAGGTAGGGTATTTTTTTATCTCCTTGCTAGCTGCGTTATGTTTAATTTTGTTGCATGTTGAAAGTGTAGAAAATATTTCAAATTCAGTGGCCTCTTTAGCTTTGTTATGAACATCTTTAAAATTCACAAAATGATAGTATATGGTCTATTCAGGCATCATTCAGTGTGACTTACACTTTATCTGTGTCTCTGATATCCAGAACCTTTTAAGGAGCTCATTGGTCTTTGTTGGATTTGCACTGATAACATATCTTTCATTTCATCAAATTTGCATTTATTTTGTTGTTGATAAATATGAATACAGTTAAGCTTGTATGAAAGTGTGTTTTTACGAAACTCAAAATTAGATATTTCTGTGACATCTGTGGGATCTGGCATCTGCCTACAATTACAGGAATAATAGTCAAACGTGACAAATTGGATTACATTAAAAATAACAGAAATAGAAGCACACACGACTATCTTCCTGGCAGATACAATAGTGGAGCAATTCAATCAATCAGCCATCAGTCTTTATATTATCAGTCAAAATGTTGTCCCTTGTGTGGGTGAAGATATTATTGGATGTGAATTTGTTCTGATTATTTAGTCTTTGGCATTGGCACACACAGATGGTACAGCATGGGTGTCTCCATTTATGTCTACCAAAATGCCATGTTGGGTTGGGTTGAGTTGGGTTGAAACGGTATATTACCATATAGTCTTTATGTTTATTGTTAATAATCAGCGTAATTAGACATTTCTATTTAAAAGCTTGTTATTTTCATTTAGTAGTTAATTGAACATGCTACAGTGCTGCTGACATGTAAACTAAATTGGAAATTATATGCTATTTATTTTCATCAGGTTTATAGATCTGTTTGTTAATATAATTCTGTTCTCACTCCGTTAAGGGTCATTGTAACTGATTATCGGTTAATTAATTATTCTGGATAATGTTACACATTATCCAGAATAATTCCAGTAATCACAATGCTCTAATAAAATGGGTTACAGACCAAACGTGGGGGGGGGGGGGTTAGTTAGCCACTCTAGAAACTCAATTTATCCACAAAGCCTTATATCACATATTATTATCAGTAAATTAATATTCCATTACCAGCATATTTGCACCTCTTATTAAAATAAGACAGTAACGCTTTACAATCTGTACACATGCGACATACAGTATGAATATAATAGAGTTACAACACTTTCAAAGCATATGACATACATGATTCATATAATGAGAGTAGTAAGCAGAATAATGATGGAAAAAATACTAATACTAATACTAACAGCAACAGTGGATATGATAATGATAGTAAAAGCAGTTCTATACAGAGAACCGTACCCTTTTGATCAAACTGCTGATTATTGAACAGCACTTCAGTAATGCAGCCGTCTCAGCTCATGTCTGCATTGCTGATGTCAGGACAGCTTGTTCTTCAGCTGATGACATTCAGAGTAGTTTGCTGCATATACCGCGTTTCTTGTTTTTCCCTTTTTCTGATAAATAACCGCCGCTAACTGTCTGTCTCAGCAGCTTGTTTGTCTTCTCACCCAGGGACAACTTGGCTTTTCTCCCCTCTGGGCGGCCAACAGATGTCTCTCAGTGGCTCCCAAAGTTCAACTTGCTCTCATTTAGCTCTCGACTTAAAGAGAGTGTCCCTGTTCAAACATTGTATAGATAGTTACAGTATACAGCAGAAGCTGTATTCAACTTTTAAAAGATATTTCACATTCATTGGTATGTATGCAATTTAGTTTCAGCTTTTATGATCAAAGTAGAATGTTAACCAAATCAATTAAAGCCCTACTTCCACCAATCAATAAATGAATCAAACACATGCTTTTATTTTTATGAATAATATATTAATGAATGATTAAAACAGTGGCATGATGAGCACACTACTACTACTACTACTACTACTATTTAAAGCAATTTTCAACACATTCTTACTGATTTTTTTTAATGCCCTTAAGTTTGGTGTTTGTTTCCACCCAAAGAGAAGGAGCCCTACAGGCAGAGGATGTTCTCCCACAGCCTGCTGTCTGACCTTTGTATGCACTGTATGTAGTGCGTATGTGGGTCAGAGAGAGCTCTTCACTGTGCGGCAGACTTATCGCGCACTGGACGCAGCAGAGACAGAAATAAAGATGTTTACAGCCTGGTACAAAAAATGGTTTTGGTCTCTATAGCAAATGTTCCACTGTATGGGGGATGAATTAATATATAACTCAGCTGTTGGAATTATATTAAAGCTTAAAGTTTGCCATAATTATGGGCGTGACCACTTTGAGTGACAGGCGGGTGCCGTCTCAAGTTGCTGCCGCTAGCTGTCTTCCCTACTGTGTCACCCTGGCTCGCCTCAGCTCCACTGATGAGACAAGATGAGAGGTCATTTCAAATATTATATTGGACAAAGTCTGCATCTAATGCTGACTTACGGAAATGGTTCATAAAGAACTCAAAATGTCTGCAAAAAACCCTCAAACACTCAACGATTTGACAGCGAGACAGCCCTAAATACACAGCCTTTTGATTTTGAAAGTGCACTCATTTGGAAGCACGTACAGTCTTTATGCGTATATAAACTAGATGATAATTGCGATTCTTACGTGAATTCTTTTTTTTACCCCCCACACGTCTAAGGCACTAAACAATGCTGGGTGAGGTGTCATTGAGTGTAAAGCCTTCTTGAACCAGTCTTGAAGGATCGACCTCACAATAGTCCACCTGAGTACAGGACTTGAAATGGGACTTGAGACGCTGCTGAGGATTCTGAAGATGAAACAAAGGCTTAAACAAGCAGCAGTATAGGCAGC